GTTATTTTCATGTGGATAACTTAATTTTATGAATAGATGAAAAAAACAATGAAAGCTTACCTTGATGAAGCCAAGTGGCGCCAAGAGGACTATGTTCCACCTATAGAGGAGTATATGTAGGTTGCCCTCATTTCCATTGCTTATCCAATGCTCATAACAAATTCCTACATTGCCATGGGAGAAGTCGCAACCAAGGAGGCCTTTGATTGGATCTCTAATGACCCTAAAATACTTAAAGCTTCCACAATTATCTGTAGACTCATGGATGATATTGTCTCACATGAGGTATGCACAGTGCTTGGTTCTTATTAATTACAAATTTAAATTATGAGGTACTTAGCTTTGGTACTTGTTTAAACACTTGCAGGAGTTAACAACTAATTTCTTTTCCAACCAATGCAGTTTGAGCAAACACGAGATCATGTTGCATCAAGTATTGAATGCTATATGAAGCAATATGGTGTTTCAAGGGAAGAGACTATGAAGTTGTTTCGAGAAGATGTTGCAAATGCTTGGAAAGATATTAATGAAGGGTTCATGAAACCAGCAATCTTTCCTATGCCTGTATTCACTGTGGTTCTAAATTTTGCTCGTGTGATAGATTTCCTATATAAGGACGGTGATAGCTATACAAACTCTCACAGTTTGAAGGCCCATATTGAATTGTTGCTGGTGAATCCTGTTATTCTGTGAAGGAGTATTGATCCCTAGAACTCCATTTAAATAATTCTATGGCCTATTATATAGCTTGAAGGTAATGTGTGGGATTGTTTTATATTTTGTTTTGTAATGTATGGGACTATTCGTAACGTGTTTCGTTTATTAAAAGTTTGCTGATTAATAAAAACGCCTTAATGAAAATATTTATTTATAACAATTATATATTATTATTAAATTAATGAAAACAAATCCTTTTATACATCTCGTTAATTTATATAATCATCATCAACAAATGTCAATTCATTATCAATGGGTGAAAAGGATTAATAAAATTATTACTATAAGGCTATGTTATTATTATTATTATTATTATTTTGAAAAAGTTATAACCTTTTAGGAAGAATGGATTCAAAATCAAACTAAAAGTTAAAGGATGCACCATTCAATATGATTTATAATGATTTGGCCTATTAAACTAGATGCATAAGGTCACGTTATCAATTTGTCAACTTGTTACGTTATTGTCTAAGTTGGAGAGAGTGTCCTGAAAATTAATTGCAAGAATGACACGGCATTGCTTTGTTTCTCATCAATCTATTATGGTTTATCTTTGGAATCGATTGTTAAAGCAAATTAGCTAGGTTTCTTAATTTCATTATATTTTGGTACTTGCAACTCATGTTATAAGACATTAAATAGAGGAAAATTTGTATAAAAAAAAAGTGAAAATTAGAATGAGATCTCACCATTTTAGAATGCACCAATAAACATTAATGATTATTAACTTATATATTTATTATTATTATTATTATTATTTTGTATTTTGGTGGTGTCACACACATATTTACATTATATATAATTATTAAAAAGTAAAAA